ATTAGGGACGGCTAGCGCTGATAGCCCTCGTGTAGCTTTACGCGAAATTCCAAAACAAGCAAGCAAGCAAAAGTCTTTTTTTTTTTTTTACTGAAAATTAAAATTATACTTACTGAAGTATCTTACCGAATGACATTTCAATAACTCTATGTTTTCTAGGTTAATAATTTATTACATGATCTCCTTGACTGGCTCTCTCCGTGAAGCTAACAATGATTTAAAGATACAGCTACGAAGGGTAGGTTGGATAATTTTGTCTAATTAGAAAAACAACAGAGAAGGCAGTTCGTGTTTTTTTTGTAAATAAGATGCATTTGAGATTAGGCTCGAACTTAAAAGGCAAAAATATAACGAAATCCCGATATTTATATATGTCTCAGAAGCAGTTCATGATAAATAACATTTCAACCACTTCTGTATTTGTTGTAACTCTGCTAATCTGATGAGCCTTTTGGTATTGCGCGAAAGGCCTCATCGGCACTGTGTGGTTAACGTATTGATATACACACCTCTTTATCTTCGTTCATAAGTTTTGGAATTAGTCTTGTTTTAAAGTAGGCATAACACGTACAGTAAAATCCGGTTTGTTTAAACTTTTAGTAAATAAATTAAAACAACCTACTGTTTGATATGAATTACCGGCACTTGTGTATTATTTAAAATTCTAATAAATAATTAAAAACAACGTTTACTTTTTACACAATTAAAACTTTACTGAAGCCGTGCGGCCTCCACTTTAAAACAACAGATAGTAGGGGGACAAACCGTAATATTTAACAAAAGTGATTATGGCAAGGAGGATTAGAAGACACGTTGAAAGAAAGTACATATAAAAACTTAAGAATAACCCAATAAACAAATATCGTGAAAAATAAAAAACTAGTGCTAAAAATAGTATAATTCTAACTTCTCAAGAGAAAAAAATGTATCGTACCAAGTAGATTCATTGCACCAAGATTTTATGAAGTATCAAAAATACATAAAAACAATAACAGTTTTAGGCCCATAGTATCAAGTATAGGTACATCATCTTATGAAATAGCAAAGTTTATAACAAGAAAATATTCTTTTTTTAAGAGATAAGAACAAATATACAGTCAAAGATTATATATAATTTGTAGAGAAGATTAAAAACCTAAAATCAGTAAAGGAAGATCTATTAGTATCATTTAATGTAATATTGTTGTTTAGCTAAAACACCACTAGATGACGCGATTAGATGTTTTGAGAATAAATTAATAGAAAATATATTGAAATTAACAAGAGTGTGTGTAGAAAATCCATTTTTCCAAGTTAACCAAAATTAGTATAAACAAAAAGAGGGTTTATCTATGGGATTCTCCTTGTCACCGTTGTTATGTGACCTTTTCATGGATAGTTTTGAAAATGAAGCGTTAAATAATGCTAAATTTAAACCAGAAGTTTTGATAAAATATTTGGATGACACATTCTTGGTGTGGCGACATGGGAACTGTAAACTACAGGAATTTTCTAGTTATTTAAATAGTAAAGAACCATCAATTCAATTCACGTATGAAACTGATGAAAATATTGGCTAGTTAGAAAAGAAACAGAAGGTAACTTAGAAACATCAGTTTACAGACAACCATTTTCTGTTGTTATGCCGCCACACAAAGAATCATGTCATATAAAAACTAAAAAAAAATCTCTGAATTTTACACATATGTTTATAAAGCTTTAAAATTATGTTCAAGGCAGGAAGATTTAGATAATAAATTGTTATTAGTTAAGTGTGTAGCAATTGATAAAGGAGTATTAAATAGAGACGAAGGACCAGGAAGTCAATATGTTGATATATGGAAGGACCAGAAAGTCAATATGGTGATGTATATGGAAGGACCAGCAAGTCAATATGTTGATATATGGAAGGACAAGCAAGTCAATATGTTGATATACTTGCTGGTCCTTCCATCAATATGTTGATATATGGAAGGACCAGCAAGTCAATATGTTGATATATGGAAGGACCAGCAAGTCAATATGTTGATATATGGAAGGACCAGCAAGTCAATATGTTGATATATGGAAGGACCAGCAAGTCAATATGTTGATATATGGCGAGATATATTATATATATTTTTCCTTACTATAAGGAAATATGCAAATAACAATGAAGTAATGCGACGAGGGGGAAAGTATAAAATAGGCTTGTAAGTTACTCCCGAGGATGACGTAGATCACGTGTACGTGTAGAGTGATATTTTAAAGTGGAAGCCGTACGGCTTCAATAAAGTTTTTATTGTGTAAATATAAAACGTTGTTTTTAATTATTTATTATATATATTTTTAAAAAGTTTTACTGTCTCTACAACATAGGAGCGCCTTGCTTGTAACACCGAGTCATATCATACTGGCGCCTTGCTTGTAACACCGAGTCATATCATACTGGCGCCTTGCTTGTAACACCGAGTCATATCATACTGGCGCCTTGCTTGTAACACCGAGTCATATCATGAAAAAAATAAAAACAATACGTTTTTATACTTGTAAAGGGTTACACATTGATAAGTCTTGTAAATGGTTACACATGGATAACGTCTTGTAAATGGTTACACATGGATAACGTCTTGTAAATGGTTACACATGGATAACGTCTTGTAAAGGGTTACACATTGATAAGTCTTGTAAATGGTTACACATGGATAACGTCTTGTAAAGGGTTACACATTGATAAGTCTTGTAAATGGTTACACATGGATAACGTCTTGTAAAGGGTTACACATTGATAAGTCTTGTAAAGGGTTACACATGGATAACGTCTTGTAAAGGGTTACACAATGATAATGTCTTGCTACC